GCTAGTTCTCTGACCTCATCCCCTATGTTTTCCACCTCCCTCACTTGCTCCCAGCCCCATTGGACTCCATGCTGTTCATCTAACACCGTGGTTCTCAAACTTTAATGCTGTGTCAGAATCATCGAGAAAGCCTGTTAAAATACAGATTGCTGAGCCACACTACCACGTCTGATTCAGTAGCTTTGGAGTGGGGCCGAAAATTTGCATTACTAACAAGTTGCTGATGCTGCTGATGAGAAGACCACACTTTGAGAACCACTGACCCAAATATACACAACAGTCCTGCCTCTGGCTCCTTGCATTGACTGGGACATTCCTACCTCAGATAGCCTCAAAGTCTTACTTTCTTATTTCCTTTAGTTTATGACTGAAATATCTTATTATCAAGGACACAATTCTTGACCTATGGAAGATAGCAACTCCATCCCTACCTCCCCAAAGAAAGGCCCAGTTAGATCAACCCACAGTGGAGACCACAGCTGATAAGCTCCTCCAGTGTGCTGAGCTTCTAATCAGCTTTGCAGTTCCCCTTTATTAAATATGAAAAGACAAATACATATAACTGGACATTTGAGGTAAATATCTAGTACAAAATAGATACTACAACAAGTAAACTAAAGTTAACAAAAAGACTAAATTCACCTTTAATGGTAATATGTGATCAATTTAAACATCGAATTTCATTTGCAGCATATTCTTTTTTAACCACATTCCTTATAGCATGGCCTATTTCAAAACAGACTGACATGTTCAATGTATTATTTGAATATAAACAAATGCTAGATAATGCTCAACAACATTGCTTTTAGAAATATTCCTTTGAGGTAAGCTAGCCAAAATTTCACTTTTCCTGGCAAAGTTATCAAGTTACTTAAATGCTTGTATGCTTAGCTATATTTATCAGAACAAAGTTCATTTTCCAACAAATGAAACTAAAGCTACCTCTAACTATGGCCACCTAATAACTTCTTGCTCCCTCAAATATTGCCACTTTTGTTTTTTAAAACCTGTTATTTATTCTCTTCCCCTGTCAAAAAGCCTCTTGGACTGAGTTGTACCTAGGTGATCTACCAGTTCTTTTAACACAAGGCAAGTGGGAAAAGATGGCAGATGGAAACATGCATATAATTTCACTAATTCTAAAAACTTTAGTATGATTAACATAAAAGTTTTTGTTTTTCTTCTTAAAGATCATATTTGACCCATATTCCAGTTGAATACCAAATGGTCAAGGGTTAAAATCAACAGTTGGCTAACACCAAATGTCACCATTATATAATAAATTACTGGGATATAAGAATAAGTATGAAATTTCATTAAATTTTAAACATTTTATTACAATTTCATTATTAGATTTTTTAGGAGCAATTTCTTAGCACTGAGAGCTGCTGGACTGATACCTCAGTTACTATACTTCATATTTGTAATACTATATAGATGCTCACTTTCAAATGAAGTCATTAGAGAATTAATATTATTTTTTGGCTAGCTTTGCTAGTCTCAGTCATTTGCTGAGAATGATGGTGTCACCAAATTATTAGGCTTTCTTTCCTGTCATGATAATTGATAAGATAAAATATTTATCTCCTATTCATTTTGTAGGTTTGAAGATTTGGTTGATACTGATGATGGAATTCCACTGAAAGAATTCCATAAACTGAAGCTTTGTGCACTGTTTGATGATGACAATTTCTAAATATTTTCAGATGAGTCTAAGATTGTTGCCTGAGCTTATATATATATATATATATATTTTTGTCCTTTTTGAGACTGGCCACACCGCGCTCAGCCAGTGAGCGCTGTGAGCGCACCGGTCATCCCTATACAGGATCCGAACCTGTGGCGGGAGCACTGCTGCGCTCCCAGCGCCGCACCCTCCCGAGTGCGCCACGGGCTCGGCCCAATATATATTTTTTATTTTAATAATTTTAAATGCACTTGCTACGTCCCATAATCACCTGAGAAAAATCTGTCCTTAAATCTTGGATCTAAAAGTAATAATGCAGCAAGTAACTGACTTTCAAGATACTAAAAAGAGAAACACATTTCCATTAAAAAGTCAGCTTTTATTGCATCCATGCCAATTTCAGTATCTTCTTCAAGAGTAGACTGATAGGATTTGTATAGCAGATATCATATAAGAAATAACTTGTGTGTGTCAAGATACATCCGTTTGGTTACTTCAGAAGTTTCCAGTAAAAGAACTGCTCTCTCTGCAAGTAAACACTGGTTATTAGTAAGAACTGTTATGCTGATATTGTTATTTACAGAATACAATGGTAAGACTCTTGTCCAAGCAAGAGTCTTTGTAATATGTAACTTCTATCTTGTTTCAATATCTTGTAGAAGTACTTCACAAGGTAGTTTCAAAATCTCTTCCATGTTATGTAATTTTCCTTAGTCCAAAAGAAGTTCTCACTCTTGGAATCTAGAACCAATAGCACTCTAAATCTAAGTCAGAGGGGCCCCAGCTCTGAGACCCACTGCTTAGAGGGCCTCACTTTGGCCTTCTTTTAGCTATGCCCTACTCCACAGGGTGAGGAGTGCATAGGGCCAAGGGTTGTGCCTACTTGAAGCCTGTGTCTCATCCCCTTCTAGGTCATGCTCCAGATACCTGGGATCATAAAAGTTCCCTGCTCAAATGGCCTGCAGCCCAATGCCAGGGCCTCTTCTTCAAGTCAATGTTCCTGAAGGAAGACCACCAGGTACATGCCTAACCCAAAGAGTGTCAAGGGGTGGCTATTTGTTGGGGGTATAGATGGATCTTAGACATGGGTCCTGAGGTCTATGTGAGGTCTTTCAAAGTGCAGTATATAGAGCCAAGGGTGAGAAAGGAAGCAGGGCAGGCCTCAGGCCAGTGGCTGGGTCTCTCAGCAATACCATATTCTAAAACAGAACCCAAATCTAAGAATTCTAAATTTGATCTTGTATTTCCAGATCTTCATAAAAATATATTTGTTGAGGGAGAGAGAATTTTTTTTTAAAGTGTGTTAGTTTGTCATATAATTTTAAACTATGTAGACATATGTTATGTGGTCCTCCATTTATATTTCTGCCCTAAGCCCAACTGCTAAAGTAGACCTAGGAGCTGGCTGGTTAGCTCAGTTGGTTAGAATGCAGAATAAAAGTCTTGAGTTGAGATCCCTGTACGGGCCAGCCACCAAAAAATAAATAAAGTAGACCTGTCAAGAATGCTTATAAGTATTTGACATTATTACAATGATTAAATACAATAGCAACCTGGAATGGTCTTTCTTACACATCACCTCCTCAGAGAAGTCTTCCCTACCTATGTAATAAAAATAGGCCTCATGAATCACCCTTCATCACATTACCCTGTTTTATTTTCTTCACTGCCCTTACTGATAACTAAAATTATTTATATAAATTCCAACACAGCAGAGACTTTGCCTGCCTTGTTATTCATTTAAGACTAAGGGATTCTTATTTAATGATTTACATATAATCTGTAACTGTCATTATTTATTTTGTGGCTCAAATTGTTCCAGATCTGGCTAGTATATTACTCTGTATCCTTTTGTCATGTCCCCATCCCCCCCACCCCACTTTTTTAAAGCACTTCTTTACTTTCTGGCACCATAGGTACCATAAGACGTTCCAGGTTCATCCTCTACTTTTCTGCTCCAGCTCCTGGAGCTTCTAGTATTCACCAGTCCCTTTAATATTCAATAATAATTACCATGATTCCATGCTAGATTATAGGCTAGACTAAAGTGAATTTATCAAAGTAATTCTACTCTGTGAGGTTTGGCTCCACCTAAGTGTCTGGCTGATATCCCTAGACATTCTCTATAACTCACCAACTAACTATAGGTAAAAGCAGCAGGATTATATTTGTAAGTAATATGTTTCTGAAATAACAAATATTAAAAATTTTAAAATATTAAGTACCAAAAAGATTGTGCATTTGTACTAAGATCAAGACATTAGTAGATCATTCTTACAAAGTAGAGGAGGCTATTAGGTTTTTTTTTACTGTGTACTAAGATCAAGACATTAGCAGATCATTCTTACAAAGTAGATGAGGAGACTATTAGGGTTTTTTTACTGCTGTTATTTATTGGTTTTATAAACTCTGACAATTATCCTATGCAGGTAAAAGGGAATGTTCTGGAATGTGACTTATTCCACTATGTACTACTCTGTGTCCTCAGGAAAGTTATTCAACTGTTCTAAGCCTCAGTTCCTCCTCTGTAAAGCAGGAATAATAATGATTATTTCATAGGGTTGTTGTAAAAACTGTAAAGCAGTTAGCACAGTGCCTGGCATATTATGAAAGCTCATTAATAACAGATATTTCATTATTGCCCTGTGCAGAGTATGGCTATATGACCTTTTATATACTCATACAAGGAAAGAGCTTAAAAAGTTTTTAGGCACATGAAACATTTCCCCTTAAATGAGCAAACCAATAATATTAACAAAACATTATTTAATGCATTTCCTTTCCAAGCATCTGCTTTACTCATTATACATTATGATCCATCTAACCATGTAAAAGTACAGATGCAGGTAGAGAAATATTAATAGTGGTTATGTCTAGGTAGAAAATTAGAGATAGTTTTAGATTTTCTTCTTTATACTTTTTTTTTCCTTTTCTTCAGTTTTTACAGCAAGCATACATTACTTTTACAATCACAAAAAGTTTAAATACCAATCAACCAACCATTGCACCATAAAGAATCTCAGTATCTGACTTACCCCATGTCTTAATCACTGATGATAATTGCCAAAATGTCCCAGCATCAAAAGAGGCAAGTATACTACTACTTTCCGGGAAAAGGAGGACAGTAATTAATTCTTAGATTCGACAACCCTGAGAACTTTCAGGGTATGCTATCAGGCATAACTAGTTAGCATAGCCCTGAGGTCCAGAAACTTATCAAATAGAGAAAAAAATATTCTTCTGATATAGATTCTCCTTAATAGAGAGAAACAGTATAGGTAATATACATACTTTGAGGTAGGTAAAAACTTACTGCAGTGGACAATCTGGATGCCAATGTCATCTCCAAGTTCCCTTTGAGACCAAGAAGTGCAGGAACTAAAATGAAAACTTCTGTTACTTTTTTGAACACTTCCCAGTGCTGTAAAAAATAAAATAAAATTTTCTGACACTCTTCATAAAAAACTTTAGAACAAAGACATTTCTAAAAATCTCAGCCTTTTCCCCAACTTTGTATCTACATTTTGAACAACTACACAGGTCATTTAATCAGGTCATTTAGCTTAACACCATCCTCCTGAGCACTGAAGCTTTGAGTTACTTTAGAAGATTCAGAGTTGACAGTGATAGCTGATACAATCACTACATGCCATTGTACATCTAGCTTGCTACAAAACCCCAATACTCTTAAGTTTTACTTTATTTCTTTATGAAGGCAAGAGTTAGTAAAGCTAATGGTTAAGAACTCAAACTCTGGATTTGGATCTTGGTTCCAACACTAATTATAACAACCCCATGGAAAAATTACAGTATTACTATTATTTAATTTCACAGGTGAACAAATAACGATTCAGAGAGGTTAAATGATTTTCCCGAGGTCAAAAGATGGAAACTAGAGTTGACCTCAGGAGTTCTGAGTAGTCCCATGTTCTGGTCCCCATTTTAGGGTGTGAGGCAGAGAGGTTGCAGAACAAAGGATCATAAATAGAGCATTAAATTGGAAATAAGCTTTGTGCATGTAGGCATGCATTTGTCATAACCTGGCTGCATGATTTTGGATGAGTCACATATCTTTCTGATCTCAATTTCTTCATCCATGAAATTAAGAGAATATTTGCCTTGTCTAGCCCTCAAGAGAAATACCATGATAATGAAAATAACTTATTAAAGTGCTTTCCACACTGGAAAGGCCATATGAATACTATAATAACGCAAAGTGATATTTTACAAATGCTATTTAGAGGTGATTGTACCAGTAAGAGACTTTGTGGACCAGGCATATTAACTTTACACCAAAAGGTATCAGGAACACAGGTCTTGTCACTAAAGCCAAGACATGCGAAAAAAATAAAATTTAAATTCGTCACAAAAAATAAAAGAAGAATTCAATTTGTTCCCAAAGTTTCCCTAGAGTCTGTTCCAAATAAGTGTAGAACTGAAGCCTCAAGAGAGTTTAGGAAATGTTATCAGATCAGTCTTTCCTAAAATCCTGGTTCAAAAAATTCACAAGAGAAATCTCTCCAGGGTTCAAGACAATTAAGGATGGGCCTTAAAAAGCACTGACTGTCCATAGCACCTCAGATTTCTAATCTTAAAAACTAACAAGCAAACAATTTTGTCCATGTTTTATGAGAAGAATTCTGATGTGCTAGTGGAATAGATATCCTTCAGAGATAATGATGATGGCAATCAAGATGATGATGATGATGACGATGAGTAACAACAGATAATAATAATAAATATTAACAATATCTAACATTCACTAATTGCTTGTTATGCTCCAGGCACTGTTCTTTTTTTTTTTTTTTTTTTTTTTTTTTTTTTTTTTTTTTTTTT